CTAATGAATTACATTCTCTTTACTTCCCCTCCCATCTTTAGTAGAGAGAGAAAAAGCTCTTTTTGGAGTCTGACACTTTTTCAGGCAATTTCTTGCAAAGAGAGAGGATTATTTTTTTTAAAATAGAAATACCCAGCTAGCAGTACAAAAACAATTAATCATCTTTAGAGCCAAACTTGGCTGGTGTAAATTGACATGACTGCACGCAGCAAGCATGTGGTTATGTGTATTCTTAGCTAATTTGGCCCATAATCACTGGAAATGTTAGTCAGTCAGATTATCTCATATGCCAAGGTTCATGTGACCAGATAATAAATAATCTGGAAGATTGCTCAGTGAGGCAGCCCTCTACTTACGTACATGTGCTGGAAACTACCTCAGCTCAAACCAGAATTTGGAATATCTCCTGCTTCTGGAAGGGCTGGGCTGAGGTCAGAGCCAGCTGTTTGGTAGCCACTTCACTGCAGCCTGCTGAGCAAAATACTGGATTCTAGATAAAGCTTTTGTGCAGCTGCTGATAGCACTTGTCTATATGTAGGTATCTCTACGTCATTTCCATGGTGAGCTCATTTATTTATATCTCTTTGGGCATGACCAGCACACTGGTTCACCAAGAGGGCTGTGTGGGACACGCTGGGAAAGGTTAAAGCAGAACAGTGCTCAGTTTTTAATTCTGACTGAAAACTACAATAAGAAAGAGCCAATCTGATCTAGAAGCCAAATTCACAAAGCACAGAGATCAGCTAGAACAGGTGTTTTTCTAATTAACTTTTTGTGGAATGCTGCTGTTTTTTTATAATACAGCAGAGTTTCAAAACAAGGACAGGGTGCTAAAGCAGAAATGATGAAGTATTTGTTGAATGATGAATTTGGAAATTACCTGGCTTTCCCATTAGCTAGTTATCTGTTTTGCAGCCAGATCCTCAGCTGCAATAAACTGATGTCACCCTTTTGAACAAATTTACTCTGGCTGAAGAAGGGGCAGTGCTTAATGAGCAACTGGAGTGGCAGAATTTCTGAATTTCTGCCATTATGGAAAATGCCTGTTACAAAGTAGGTGACTCAGCAGTGCAGTGGTACTGACATGTCACAAAGAGAAAAAAGTATTCAGAGAAAAATGTTGAATGGAAGATTACTTATTTGCTGAAATTCTATTATTCAAATTCTTATTGATATTCTGCTGACCTCTGACCCCTACAATAATTCTTTAATGCAAGAACTGTGTGATGCAATTACATACAGATCACCAGATTTGGCATAATTCCTTGACTTATAAATGTGAAATAGTTATGAAAGTGGATAACTATCTGATTACCTTGCACTCACAAAAGCAGTGTTAAGCTTCCTTAATATCTTCCACTTAGTGCTCTTCCTTCAGCCCTAGTATAAAATACTAATATGGTATTTTAAATCTTGAAAAGAAATGTGATGCTTTGTGCATTGGTGTCTGAACGAAGAATAGAACTGGTATGGATGACCCAGAAGGTCCTTTAATTCTTGAATTGTAAATGAAAAGTTTACTTCCATTTGCTTCAAATGGAAAAGTAAAAGTTTTCTGGCTGTGAAAGTACAGGGAAATCAGGATTTGACATTTTGAAACCATACTTTTCTGAATGAAAAGTGTAATGACTGCAATCCGCAGCTGTAAAATATGCATTTATTCATAACATTTTTTTCAAAAGAAAGTAGTCTTGACCCTCACACATGACAGTCACTTACTGTAAAGTTGACTACACTTTAAATCAGGTTTTAGACTACAAGTGAAGTTGTTGTAGGGAAAAGCTGGCTTGACCATCAGGCTGTAGAAGATACATACCAAATAAGAGCAGAAATCCATCCTGCTTTAACAAACTAAGGGTGGTCTCTCGCTCTGCTTTGCATTTGCATATTTGTAAAGTGCTGAAATAGAGGAAAGAAAGGGTTAAAACACTTTCAGACATAATTCAAAAGAATGAAAAGAGAGTAAGACTAATAATTACAGTGAAATATTCCAGGGTGTTTTATTCAGTTGGCACAAAGGGTAATAAGAGCAGATGCTTTCCCAGTCCTTACAATTCCTTAGCTTGTATTGATGTACAATGAAAAGAACAAAAGATAATTAATGGTCTACAAAGAGGACACTCTTAGTAGTAAGCTGGTGTCTCAGCATCCATCTTCTCATTGATCAATATTGGAAACTATAACTTCATTGGTTGTTTTATGAGGTCTTTAGAAAAGGACACAGAATTATCAAGATCATAAAAAAATGTATTTTATTCTTTTGTGGCTATAACCTCATTATTCTGCCTGGGAAACGACGCTGCGATTCTTCTATGTCACAGCCCATTCTGAAGGGGGAAAGTATTAGTGTTATTCTTCAGCTGGCCACGCATGTACTTTGTCTTGAGTGGAAGGGTCCTTCTCAAAGGCAGCTGACTCCTATAAAACAGGTGTCCTGCTGCCCTCCTGGCTGGATGTGAGCTCTGTGCCTTCCCGGGGTCCCCGCAGCCTGCGTGGAGCCACCAGACTGCGACTCACCAGCCCAGCCCATCTCTGGCTATGGGCAGGCAGGGCTTAAACCAGCTCTGCCTAAAGCAGCTCGGACGTAGCCAGGCACAGCAGTGTCCTGTTAATGAGCTCTGCCTCGCTCAGGGATGTACAGGGCACAGCCCTTCCAGCTGTGAGTGCTGTGTGGTGCTGCTCATCACGCCCCAGGGCCACACTCACTGGCTCCTGGGTTGCAGCAGGACACTGCAGGCACCTGGAAGCTTTTCAACACCTGAGGCATGTGGGTGGCTCCACAGGTGGACCTAAAACATGAGCTTGGATTCATTTTTTAAATAGCTGAAGTTAGGTGATGTGAACCCCCTTGTTGCCATAGCAGGATTTGGAGGGGAGAAAACACTGATTGTCTCAGGATGAAAAAAAGGAGAGGGATGTAAAGGTAGAGTTGCTAACAAGGGCTCGGCTAGACATTTTGAACAGATTGAGGGCAGCTCTGCCCTGAAGTCAAAACATACTCAGGAGAGCTGGAGATGGAGACCTGGCTCTGTTTTGAGCAAGCACTGCTCTTTAAGCATGCTAAGCTTTACAGTTTTTCAGCTTTCTTTGCCTAAATGGGTTGATCAACTCTGCAGACCATGGGCTGGCCCTAGCTACTCTATCCCAGAACCTGTCACAGTAGGAGCTGATCTGTAGGGATGCAGGCCCTGCAGCAATGTGGCTTACACTGCATTTAGAAAGCCAGCTCATCCTCCATCAAAGTGGAAAAAACGATTCCCATGCTTCAGCTGGCAATGCCAGCTCTGAGTACCTGCACATCTGCCCCGTGCTAGGACACATGACAGATTTTGTTCTGCAGGCTTGTATACTGAATAGGCGTTGCCAGCTAACAGCTTGCATCTGGTGGATTCTGGGCTACAGGCCCCACAGGTGTGAGATTACAAAGTGTGAGAAAGCAATTTCAGACATTTTTAGAGGTTTTGAGTACATAACGCTCCCAAGTCCATAGATGTTGCACAGATGATAGGAAAAATACATGGAGACTATGGGAGATGTGATGTTCTACTGGGTGTTGCACGGAATGGCTCAAGTTCAATAAACACAGATAAAATATTTTCTTTCCTTTTTAAACAAAGAAAGAAAAAATGGCTTCTTCTATTGTTTCCTGTAGCTAGGAAGAAAAGGGTCTCCAAGGGCAGAGTCTCTTGCCTGGCCTAGTACAGTTCAGCATGGTATGGGTCAACATGAGTGTTGGGGACAGGGAAAAAGGGTATCCTTGGTTTCAAGGAGCCTAGGCTTTGATTTGGGTGGGGTTGGCATTGTTTAGCAGGCACATTAGAGAGACAAGTCAGGATTTAAGTGGAGATTCATCTACAGCAGTTTCTGTAAATGCCCAGTGAAACCCTCTGTAACTGTGGAAAATAAAGTATTCTCATCTAAACCCAAGAAAAAACTTAGAAAAGATCTGTGCTTTACTACCTTTTAGCAAAGGTGTCATTTTACATCTTTAGATCACTGAAATCTGTATTGAGCTCTCTGCCTGTTCATATTACTGGAAGCAAGTTGGGTTACTCATAAGTACTAAAACCACATACACTGTGTATTTGTGTGGGGTGTCAAATTACATGAGTAAACTTTCTGCACTGATTTGTTGCTTTAGAGTCAGCAATTTTATTTTGTTGCATCAGTATTTCTCCAAATTCAGTCTTTTCAACAAAACAGCTATGTTAAGGTGCTAAATGATCTCTAGTAGGAGAATTTCTTATGTTCTTCTCTATTTGTTTGCATGGTTTTTGTCACAATCCACTAATAAATAGCTCAACATGCTGCTTCCTCAAAAGTCCCATTGTCTTTCCTTGTAAACAAAAGGCAAATCCAAGCATTTTGCTCTAGTAAATTCTAAATGTGTTTCTCAGGTAATTTGTACAAAGTATATTACGAAATCAATATACATAATAAAACAGAGCCTAAAAAGCCTCCAGACTGCCCTATAAACTGTGACACCTGAATTGCTTCAGTGCACATGAACAAAAGCGTGCAGAAGCAAAGTCATTTCAGGTAGAAAGGACAGAACCTACCACTTTTGCTGCTGCCTTCTCCAGAGAACCCTTTCATGTCTCCAGGACATGGACCTCAGCATGTTGAACCTAACTTTAATGCTAAATCCTTCAAGCTTTCCCACTGGTTTGATCTAGGGGGCAATTATTGCATCAAGCAGGGACAGCAGCTTCCCCTCTTGACCCTTGTAATTTTACCCCTCCATTGACCAAGCAGAGGTGGTCCAGGTGATGTATAATTCAAATTTGGACAATCCTTAGTAACATACCAACCTTAATAACATACCAATCCTTAATAACAAACCAATGTTTGTGTGAAAACAAATTTGCTGATTTTTTCCATTTTAGCCCGAAGGACTTGGAGACAAATTTAAGCATCTCTTCATTGGTGGGGTTGAGCAGGGATCCCAAAATGAAGAAGAAAGAAGAATTAATCTGCATGCCTTTTGCTTTCTTTTCCAGGTACCTCCAGCATCTACCATTCTTGATGTGAAACACAAATTTCACAAAGCATGTAAGTACTATGGTTACCAGGCTGGAGACATGGTTAGAGGCCTTTTGCTTAGAGAAATTGTCAAATTTATTTTTCAGGAATCTCACACAAAAGCTGAGACTGGCCTGACAGCTCCAGAGCTCAATAAGAATGGTGTTTGAACTAAGGTTCTATTGTAGTTGTTGCAGATAGGGGGGGCTGGATGGAGACAACTGCATAATTTAGCACTGCCAGCACATGAGGGGCAGTAGTTTTTATCTTGTTTTTAACATTACATCGTGTCATTTCAAGGCCAGCACTGCATTTCTTCTCCCAGTGTTATATTGGATAAACTTCAGTAACAATAGACTGCTTCATGGTGGCCATAAACAGACCATGTGGACCATAAAGCTGCTGTAGTGGGGAATGTGAACTCAGAGTGACTAAATAACATCTGGATTTAGGTTAGATTATAGAAGAAATTCTTTATGGTGAGGATGGCAAAGCACTGGCACAGGCTGCCCAGAGAAGCTGTGGATGTCATGTCCCTGGAAGGGTTCAATGAATGGGGTGCTGAGCAACCTGATCTAGTGGGTGGCATCTTAGATACTGAGCTTTCATTACTTTTACAAAAAACCCTAAAGACTACATGCCTTTTACAGAAAAAAAAAAGGGCTGTCAGCCACTAATATGCTTGAGTTCAGAGTAGGGTAAGTAGAAAAAGCATTATGCTTCTCCTGTGTCCTTATAATTTTATAAAACAGCAAAGCTTAAGGCATCTGTGGTTGCACATGGGTTCAGTTGATGAAGTGAAAGGCTATTAACCTGACTGCTCCAAAGTTACTTATTTTCCCTCCCTGTAAGGGCTTGTAAAATACAAAATGGCAAAAGTTCAAAAGCCACGCTGCTGAATATGAAAAGATCGAGTGCAGAAGTTTTAGTATTTCAATAAGGGTATGTCCTCCCATTAGTTTGTCAAATGCAGTGCACTTCTGCCTAGAATCTCTTAAATCAATTGAAACTGGATTTATATTGATGCAGTTTAAATCAGTTGGAGAACACTGGCACAGAGGTTTATGCCAATGTAACTGTAATGAGGTTTTTAATGGATTTGGGCTAAAATGATGTGAGATTGTGCATAAGCCATTTTAATGGCACCTGTTTGGATATTAAGAGGCATCTTACTCCTCAAGTACCCCCACTGATGTAAGTGGAGCTGAGTATAAAGTAAGACAGTAAGCATACAACAAAGCACAGTATACATCAGTATACATCATGAACCAAACCTCTGTCTGTGCAGTGTGTTACAGCACATGGAAGGCCTGGCAAGTGCCTTCAATGCTTTTTAAATTCTCATTTTTTTATGTTAATTCATCCCATTCCCAGGAGTACACCACATCGGCATCCTGTGTCCCTTCCTCTCAGTTCAGCTCATTGCTTTGATCTCTCTTTTCCAGTTCAGCCTGGATGTTGTTGTCTCATGAGGTTCCCCCCCTCCTCCTTTCCCAGTTGCAAAAATCAAACTTTCACTTTTTTCTCTTTGTGTAGTTAGTGGGATGACAGCAAATAAAATACAGTTCTCTTAGGCAAGGGCTGGGAAGGGGCTGAAGCTGATCTGTGGATGCCTTTGGTTAGCATGCTATTTTGTACTGGCTCATGCATTCATTTCTGTCATTTTGTGTGTGCCAGACTCACATGTTCCCCTATAATCTCTCATTAAAACACTCTCCTACGCACACCCCCTTGCAGTCTCCCTGTCTTCATACATTCTCCTTTGATCACCCATGCAATTAAGCTTTCTCCTCAGCTGGTATCTTGTCAGCCCTTCAGTGAGAGGAACCCCTGTGCAGCAATTTCACAAGAATCATCTCTGTCACTGATCAGGTTTTGCTCCCTGATTCAAGAAAGGAGGAAAGAGACTGAATTATGAATTGCAGCACAAGCTGTTAGTCATTAAAATAAAAGAAATGGGATGCAAGTGACACTTGCCATCTTACTGATAAGTAGTTTCTAAGTTAGTCAAATATTAGTTTGGATATGTGTTTATACAAAAGGCAGAATATGGATTTAGAAGTCCAGGAACAAATACTGAAATAGTCCTCATCCCTCACTTCAGCAAAACTGTCTCTACTGAAAGAAGAAAGAGCATTTTATGGCTTTGAGTTCAGGAGGGCAGTCCCAGTTTTATCGCTGGAGATTCAGGGATCTTAGTGGAGAATAACCATTTAAGACAAAGTGCTATTTTCATGGGAATTCAAAGGCTTTGCCCAGATTGAAGCTGTTTTTAATCATCCCCTGGCTGCTGTAGCCACAGCCCGTGGGAGGGATGGGCAGCACCAACTGGGGCCAGCCCAGAGCAGCAGATTCCCTGCTGCAGCCCCCTCCAGCCATCAGCTCCACAGGGGCTTTCTGTAACAGATGTTGGAGCCAGGCTGTCATGCTTAATAGCAAACATCACACCTGCCCACCATGGATCTGTCTAATCCTTTTTAAACCTACTTACAGTTCTGACCTCAGCAAAATCCTCTGGGAAGGAATTCCACAGTATAAGCATGCTGTGGACAAATGTCTACACTTCTACAGCCTGATGTTTCCTGCCTGAGATTGAGTGGCAGCTGAGTGTCAGGGTGCCACTGGCCACTGTGCTGAGCTGTCTGAGCATGGGTCTCAATCAAAATGGTGCAATGCATTAGGAGATTTACCAGAATTTTTCTCATTCCTTTGGCTAGCTGGCAGAGATGTAACCAAGCCAAAAATGGAGTGTATAAGAAAAAAAGTCTCTTGACCCATTTTCTTAGCTGCTTATAATGAGTTAGCTACCTGGCACTTTCTTGATCTATACAGATGATATTTTTGATGGAGAAAGAAATATCTTGCAGGCTAAACTTCCTGAGCTCTTGTCCTTGGCAATAACTTTTCACCTTTAATTTATTTTTATCTTTGCAAAATGTATTGGACTGCTGGGGGAGGAGATCTTACAGATAGAAAATGAAAAACTGTAATAATAATGCTAATTCAAGTATCACATAACTAAAATAAAATACTTCTAGAACATGTAATATATAATATAGTGGAGTCAGTGATCATTAAATTTTTTCAAGGTTACTGCATGAAAGTTGCTGAAAAAGCTCTTGAAAGAAGAGGAAGAACTGAAGGGAAATGGGGAAATAAGATCTCAGCAGTGCTGTAACAAACTGATAGAGGCAACCTGCTGCTCAAGAGGGACAGCACAACTGCAGCTACATTTTGAAGCCAGAAGGGTGAGCATAGGAAGGCCAGAAATTACCCTCTAGGCAGAAGGAGCAGGCAGGGAAGGTGATGGGTGAAAGGAAAAAGGGAAGTCCAAGAGATAACTGAAAATATCTTGTCAAGGGCATCCTGGTCCGCAGGGGGAATAAAGGGCTCAAGGAATAAGGAACACCTAAACTAACAGACGTTAAATAGGGCATTTAAAACAACCAATATCAATGAAAGCAAATCATAAAGACAGGAATTGTCAGTAGATGGCACTCAAGAATAAACAGCATAATTTCTGAACAATATGAAACTTTAGAACCCTGCTGTACCATCTTATAACTGCTCCTTATAGGTATTTCTATAGTGATCCTGGGAGCCGTGTTCCCTGCAATGCTGCTGGAATATTTTCTGTTGTTTTTCTCTAGAGAGAGGACAAGGAAAAAGTGTAAGTCCTTCTTCATGATGGGACCAATCTCTCTTTCAGCCTCCTCCTTACAATAGGGCAGTGTTAGGAGTCATCTGCCAGGTTTTACCCACTGCTGTCATCCTGCATGTGTCCCAGAAGCCACAGGAGAACTGGCAGCCCTGCAGATCCCATCCCCACAAGTGCTCAGCTCAGGCAGTGCTCAGCAGCTGCAAGGAAAGCAGCATTTTAAAATCAACAGGTCCTTGTTCACCCAGAACCCTGAAGCAGATCTTCAAAATGCAACAGGGGAAGTCGAGCTGACAGGGTGAAGAGCAAGGAGGAGAATCTCTCATTACTTAAAAATCACAAGGCAGGCTTTGTGAGCACAGGTCGAGGCACAAGAAGTACTAAAAATAATTCTTTAGTGGAGGAAGTCCTCTTTCTTTCCTCCTTTCTAAAAAGGCTGCTAAGGATTTTCATGCCCTGAATGTGAAACTTTTCTTGTTTTCATGACACCTGAGCAGTCAGATGCACCTAGATTTCAATAGCAAGGGCACCAGAAATAACTGGTTTTTGCCAGGCCTGTGCTGGCACACAAGAGCGAGATGCAGAGCTGTTGCTGGAAAGGATGACTGTACTGCATCACGTAATTCCCTTCTGGAGGCTGGCTGTGATGTTAAACTGCAAGGCTCAGAGAGGTGAGGAAGGATGCTGTGGGGATTAGTCATTAAGAGCAGTACCAGGGAGAGCGGTGACTGCTAAGCCAGTCCTTGCCTACCGGCTCTGTATAATCAGGACTGTCTGATAACACAGTCTTGCTGAGAACCTGCAGCTCCTCTGATTCCTCCACACTGTCTATTACAGCTGGATTCTCAGGTTGCGGAAAGTTAATGAAATCTGTCAATTTTGATGCCTGGAGAGACTCATGTGCCTGATGAATACATCTGCTGGGGACTCAGAGAAGCTGAATTATGCTATTTATGGCTCAGCAAAGTTGACTTCATAGTCTTGGCCTGTCAATCAGCCATGTGTTTCACAAACCAAAGAAACCCAAATAAGTTATATCTAGGGCACAGAGCCTTCCAGAGGGATCTTTCTTCTGTCCTATATTAGGAGATCAGACTTTGAGAAAGACAAAATATTTGAAAGAGGGCAATGATCTGATCCCACCACGAGTCACCTTGAGCTGGACACACTCCCTGGACAGAAAGGCAGCTACAAAGTCTATAGCTTTTATCAGATCTCAAACTCCTTCCTCCCTGATTGTGTCCTAAGTAGTTCACACTAGCCCAGAATCCATATATGAAGGAGTTTTCCAAAGGACAGACAATATCCCACTGTGCAGTGTCTGACTGCAGAGCTCAGAGGCCCAGCATTACCTCCTCAGTATGGATTCTCA